CTTCTGAGCCGCTTTCCCATAGTGAACTTTCACTGCATGAGGTTTGGAACTGATGGTTTCCCATTCGGTTCGTTTCCCTTCTTGAACCTTGGCCTGGAGTTTTGGAGGATTGTTGCTATGATGTAGCTCTTTGGACATCTTCTTCTTGATATATTCGTTCACGAGGCATTCAATGGTTTCTGTTTCCACCAGTTTATGTATGTCATGTACTTCCTGAATGGAAAGAGCTTCATCTTCAGCGAGTCTTGGTCGCCTGCTGGCGGATTCTGAGCTTGCCGGCCCTGGAGACAAGGGTCGCTTATCGCCTCTATTCATTACTACATCCTGGACAAGCTGTGGAACCACTTCTCTCATGACCTCAACGAAATCATCTTGGCGAAGAGCGGCTGGTCTCCAAAGGGACATGGGTCCATCTTTGCCTGAGACCCGGCGACGGACTGGCCCATATGTAGACGCTGCTTCAGACGGTCCGGATGGAGCCTCTGACTGTCGATTCTCGTCGGCTGATCCCTTTGACCCTGGGGGATTCTGAGCTTCAGTGTTCTTTATGGGAGATTCTCTAGCCATGGAAAGTTCTGGCATGTTTGCATCGCTTCCTGGACTTGCAGCAGGTTGAGAATCGGCCGGAGGCACTGCTGGACCCACTTCTGGCTGTTCAGCTGAGGGTCGACTGCTCGGCTCTTCAGGTGCTTCAACATGGGGCAATTGCTCTGAATCTGCAGATATGCTTGGATCTTCTTGTGGGGGATATGATTGATGCAGGAGGTCTATATACTGTTTACTCTGGAGGTTACCTTTATCAATCAAGTCCTTGATTCCTAGCATTTCAACTTCGGGGGTGGCAATTAGATTCTTCTCTTCATTCGTGGCTGGTCGCAATTGCTCTGGAGCACACCGAATCACCTGTCGTCGATGGACAAGAACATAATTGCGGCCGACACGACCCAGGATGACGGCGACGCCATACCATTGCCCCCCCTAGTTGCAGTTGACCTTGGACCCATTTTTGGTTACGCCAATATGCCGCTAGATCACCTGGAGAAAATGTCACAGCTTTGCGGGGTCTGGCCAACAGAGCTACTCGCATGGCTCGATCATCTTGCATCTGGATCAGAGCGGTCCGTGCAGCTGTCCGCATAGCCTGCGATTTTGCTAATCCCTCATCGGTGAGAGACGCAGTTCCCGCTACGATGGACAGGGGCTCACTTAACAGATCCTGAGGGATGTTTGGGTTTCGACCGAACACGAACTGATGGGGTGAGAACCCGTGCACTTGCAACATCTGATTCTTGACGTGGGCATGAGCTACACATTCAAGCCACTGCTCTTTTGATGAGGGATTGAAGCTATCAATGAGCTTATCTAGCACCCTACCGAACCACCCACCATGTGACTCACATTTACCTAACTGCCAGTGTGCTCCTGCTGCAATGGGCCTAATGTGGATACCATCTAGCTCAGCTGGACCGGTCATGGGTTCCCCCAAATTGGTTCGGGCTGGATCCAGGACAATCTCCCGAGGAACCCCTGCCCAAGCAATCCAATGCTCACTCAACAGGCGTCGAAGCAACGAGGCAGTCTCAGTATCGAAGAACGGAATCATTCTTTGAAAACCGCTGGCGGTATCTACGATGTTCTTGGCTCGAATCTTCTGATTTGGGAGCCAACCTCGAAGATGCTTCACATCGACACCAATCTGGTGATTGAACTCAGCCACTCGGTTCGGCTGCGCTGGCAGAGGACATGATGGCCTGGCCTGACTCTTGCAGAACTCACAGGTGAAATCCTTAGCTAGCCTTAGAGCTTGTTCGCTGGCTTGACCATGTTTTAGAATGCGGACGAGATCACTGTTTGGAGGATGACCCAGGTTCTTATGCAACCGTTGGATCACAGGCATCAAGTCTTCGTCAGTCTTGGCAGGAATCTGGCCGATGGCACACACTTCAGGCCAGGTCTCAGTTGGCACGGAGTCATCAACTACCTCCAACATACACACGGGTTTCACGGCGTTTGTTGACATAGGTTGACTGTCATGAAAACGATCCAATGCGCGCAAAACGGCTTTCACAAAGTCCGGAGGGTATTGACCAGCGTATTCACTGACCCTAGGAACCCCAGTGGCATGTCCTGCCACCACATCATGACATGAATGATTCCCTTCTCCCGTGCATAATAGGCCTAAACTGTGCATGTCGGCATGTGTCACTAGCAACCGGGTGCTTTTCCTGATAAATCGATCACTGCCTGGGAGTTGCAAGCCATATCTACACATGTGTAACTTTACCGTGTCATGGACTCGGCAAAGACTCTGAACCTCGGGGTATGTCCAAAGTCGGGAACCTGAGGGATGCTCAAGGACGGCTCGGCCTCCTAGTTGGACCTGCATGCGAAACAACTTGCAACACCACTTGATGTATGCTCTACTTTGGGACCTACGACGAAGGTATTCCACGCGATCCCACTTGGTGCTGTTCAAGTGAAACCACCCGCCTTCATCCGTGCATGGAGGACAAAGAACCAGGAGGTCCGGAAAATCGTCATGTAGATCTCGCTCCACGGCTTTCCTGTCAGCGGGGCGACGGAAGTCAAAACCGGTCTTGAGGTCATACGAACGGGCATTGAAACCGGCCTCTTCCGCTATGGTTTTAAACCGGGGCGGAGAAAAGACTTCCATTACTAGGCATTTTCGTTTTGTGGCTCTTGAGTGATCATGCACTGCTAGACAAATCTTGGCTTGCGTTTCCAATTGTCTGTACTGATGCGCTGACGGCATCCATTCTAGCTCGCAGTTCTGTTGCACCTCACTACCATGATACGAGAACTCTGTGCGTACATGGGCATGACTGACATCGAATCGACGAACGGTTTTATGTTGCGGAGTCCCTGGATGGATGGCCTGATCGTCAAGTACCTGATCATTAGACAGATCGATAACACGGCGATGGACGACCTGCTTCCATGGTGGACCTGACCTAGATAGCCACGGAGTTGCCCGAACATCACAATTTTCCTGATTCCATGTCAAGATCAGCGACGTCGGGCTCGCCTCACTCACCGGCTTGGACAATGGCTCAGCTGGTGGTTCATGCTGAGACACTTGAGCCGGCTCTGTTCCGTTGAAGCCATGATCTCTGTAAAGGAGGCTGCGGTGGACAACTCCTCACTAGGGCTACCCATGAGATTGACGATGTATTGTCCGGCACTGTTGGTCTTGAGGGGCACTACTCTATTGAACACCTGCAAACGATCTTTCTCAAAGTCGATGGAGGCACCAAGAGTTTTGAGGGCAGCACGACTCAGAAGGAGGGGAGCGTCCCCCCGGATGATTGATGCTCTGATCACTCCACGTTTCTGAGCCAGGGTGACCGGCATACACTGTGTGCGTGGAAGTTTCGATCTCACCGTTTCCAAATTTGAATTGATGAGTCTCTTCATTCCATGCGGGCACCTGCCAACCCAACTGACGCCACATGGCCTCAAAACTGCGCAATGTGCTCAACCCAATGATTGTACGACCACAACCTGAATCCAACACTGCGAACCCTGGCGATGAAACCAGCAAGGCCTCGGTGGAGGCAGGAGTGTCAACTGTCAATGCATGCTTGTTGTTGAAACGCCGGTCACGGACTCAATCAAGCAATGTAGGAATTGACAACACTGCTGCAACGAAATCCAGCGATTCAACCAAGGCTGCACCAGACGTAGACGCAGGTGCCTCACTTGAGCGTCCTGAACTCTTTCCAGCACCCTTGCGAATGTCTTTGGCCTTGCATTCACGAGCCCAATGGCCTTTGCGGCCGCAGCGATTGCAGGCAGTATGCCTCTTCATCTCCTCCACTTCGACTCGAAAAGCTCTCTTGACATCTCGAGCCTTCTGAAACTGGCGGGTCTTTTGCAACTTGTTCAACTCCTGTCGGCGTTCCCGCCAGGTCGCCGCCAAAACTTCTGCGACTTCACCCTCTTGATACACTTCTGTATCGCCCATCTGCTCCAGAGATTGCTGGTGGTCCTCGAGCAGCTGGTCAACATCGGAGAACTGTTCCTCCCACGCCTCCGGCGTTTCATCCAACTCGATGTCGACATCTTCAGCTAAGGCGACTGCTGTGCGCCTTTTGGACACGACCAGATCTGGGTAGCATGATCGGAGAGCTGCAGCAATGGATTCACGTTTCAGGTCTCCTCTGGCACGGGAGATGACAACGGCCTTCTGCTCTTCGTTCAAGCCAGACCGATGCAACAGCAGCCATCCACGAGCTTCGTCGGGGAATTGCACTCCAGTTTTCCTGTAGCAGCGGTCGAAAAGCTCTGAGCCTCTGGCAGTCCATTGCTTCATGCTCTCCCCTTCGGTTGACCGAAGGTTGAACACTTCGCCCAAAATCTCGCCCAACTCATCTACAGTCTCCAACTGCGGAAAACGTTTGTCCAGCAAATTCCACAAAACTTGATCACCATCTTTCTTTTGATATTCAGCTGGATCCACGTGTTCAACGGCCTCCAAGGCCTTTCCGCTCAGCAAAGTGTAGATGTATGCACCACGGGCTGTTTCAGGCAACTTATCCAGTGTAAGGAACTTGTTCTTCACCCAAGTCTTCCACCGCCGATATTCACGGCCATCTTCATTCTCTCCTGAGAAACCTCGGACACTGCTAGTGTCGCCAGTGTTCGAGGATGACGACATGTCACGTGTGCGGACCTGTACCTACAGGTCAACCAACCATGGCGCGGGAGCCAGGGCTATTCCCTGGCTCCGCTACCAATAGCGGAATCGACCTATCCTCCCCAGAGGATCGATGGGGCGCTCCTTTTCTTCTCGCCTGAGCATGGAATTCCCCTGCGGACACAGAGATGTCACGTGTGGCCAAAACGAATGGAATTCCCCTGCGGACACAGAGATGTCACGTGTGGCCAAAACGATATATATACAAACCCTACTGTCCACTTTTGTCGCAAAACATGCTTCAAATGATTTACAGTACACTACTGCACGGTAGTTTTCTTGCCTGTGGGTATCCATCAGCAGGCTTCTTCCTGCGAAGGGGTGCTGCCATTCTGTCTGAAGGGGTGCTCACAGCAAGAACAGGAATGCAGTTATGAGCTTGCAGCATCGTACACGGCTTTACTCGGACTTTTTCGACCCTTCGACTCGCAATAGTTTTCTCCAAAAGCGTCCAAATTAGAGTTCAGATGGTGCCAATGGTATCTTGTCGATAAAGAATGCCACTGTTTGCTTGGCTAGGTTCATTGAGAGGAAGGTTCCTGGGCAGCCGCGGGGCGCGGCTGGACAACCTGCCACGGACGGACAGGACTTGAAATCGCCCCATTCATTGTTCCAAGACAGCAAGCGCTCTGCATTTTCACGTCCAGGCACAAAATCGTGAGGGTTCTTGAAGACTTGTGGATCGCGGTTCGCACCGCTGCTCAACAACATCGCCAGCTCACCTGTCTTCGCATTCCAAATCTTCCCAATCGAGGAAAAACTTATCTTTGTCGAATTTCTGTATTGCACCGGGTTCATTCCTCCAACAGGTGGTCTAACCCGAGCAGCCTCCAGCATGAATGCATCTGGGTCTGCCCGGAAAAGCTTGACAAGTTTGGGATCCTTCTGAATCATCTTGAGCGTTTCATACGCCAGATTACTTGTCCCACCATAACCAGCAAACAAGGCAATCCACACCATTTCGTCCAGCCGTTCCTTCCCTGGCATTCCTCGTTCCTCGGCTAGTTCCATGAATTTTCGGGCAACATCTCCCTGCTCAACTTTTCGCATCACTGAGGCGCGTATTTCTGCCAGTTTTCGTCCTTGAAAGCCCAACAATGGTGCCCCAAGGACAGCGGGTGTAAACGTCGCATCATACTCAAATATAGCTGGCAACACTTCGGCAACGTCAACCCCAAAAAGACTTCTAAACAAGTTGTAGCCAATCGTGTCGAACACAGCAGCTTTCTTGCTACCGTCACTGGGGCTGACATGTTGCGGAGCCATGAACCCCGGTAGTTTTGCACCGTAAGCCAGTGCTGGCAATCCATCGGCCAAAAGCTGTCTTCGAGCCGTATGCTCTTCGGAGCCTGTGTCAAAATTCAACAAAATACTTGGTGAAAGGTCTGGCAACACTCCTGCGGGCAAGGATGTCTTGTTGGAGGCGACCATCATATCAGGTGGTCGTCCAGCAGCTGGATCATAAGCCCACCTGCGGTACTCTTCGTGGGAAAAATAGATGGTTCCAACCTTATCTCCGTGATATGCCATGCTCGGAGCAAATATCGCGACCAGGCCCACACCTGTCTCCCAGCTAAAGGTTTCTGTCAACTCCTTTGCAAACTGATCCTTCACACAGCCCAAATAGTCACCCAGGCAGTATGTGAAGTGTCGACCTGTGGAAATGAGGCCCGCAACTAGCAAACCAGTGCCATCAAAATAGCTCACCTGCGCCCTGTAAAATGCGGAAGAAATCTCGGGCACCAACAAGGTAGCAAACAGCAACAAAGGGACAGAGAGGGTGACCAGTAAGCAGCAGCTAAAGGCGCACATGGTCACACACATGAACAGTTCCTTTTGAACTGCAACGACCTCCGGCGAGTTGCTCTAGGAGTAAAGTTCATTCATCAAAGGCTGACATGATTGACTTCTTGTTATCAGGAAGTGCTTGAAACATGAAACTAGAGACGTAGAGCATACTACAATATGGTTCATGCACTGCTTGCATGGGTTCGCTGAATCAACGAGGAACATGATTGCAGTTCGCGCCTGAAAAATCCTGTCTGTTTGTTGTGCATGTGCAAACCTGTAGGTATTCTTTTCTCCAGAAGTCTCTTCCCGACGTGGTGAAGAAAATCACTGTGGAGACAGAACACACTGAACTGGCATCTTCTGCGCCCAAAGCTTGTGGACGCTAGAAGTGTTTCCTGCCGCAACCTGTGTTTTTAGCCCGCCGCCTCCCTACTTAATTAAGTGGGCACCTACTTACAGTATAACTAAGTAAGGGAGTAAGCTAGTTCGCTACTAGGAGAAGTTCGCTCCTAGGAACAAGCTCACGCTTTTTCAAAGAAGCTCGCTCCGGGGTCGCACTAATGATTTGGTTCCTAGATTTTAAGGGATACTTTGGATTTCTCTTCGCCGGGAATTGAGCTGCGCTCGAGTGGCCTGCAAGCTCTCACAATCTGAAGATCGCCGACAATTATGGAAATTGGGTCTTCCCCTGCTTTGACAGAAAAGCACCAGATTTGGCCTCAAATTTCGATAGGGTCAAAAAGGCACTGTGAGGTCCTGCCTTTGGCGTCTGCCTTTTCATGCACTTAGAAGCAGCTGCTTCACTGATTTGGTTGAAGGCTTTTGCCAAAAGCATCCAGTGAGGTGACTCGTTTAGAGTTGGGTACTTTGCAGGATCTTTGCAGGAAGATCAAGCGAGCAGCAGAGCGACCAGAGTGTTTGCATGTCATGCTGGTTTGGGCTGTTGGGATGGCTGTTGGGCAAGCACAGCTCAGGTTGTGCGACAATAATATCATGCTGTAATGGAACCTATATACAGTAGCTACTTACAGAGTTTCCATGTCAATGACAAGCAGTGAGAAATAATGACACATAATGGTTACATCCAGATGGAGATGAGCTCAGGTGAGATGAGCAAAAGTGAGTTGAGTTAAGTTGAGAAGTTCACACGCATACAACTCATTCGAACTTGCTTCAAGTAACCTCTGCCACTGTGCTGTGCCTGACGTCTCGAGTCTCAAAAATCTCTTTTTTTTCAAAATGTGTGTGTGTGTGTGTTCTCCATGCATTCGGACTGAATTCTGTGAGACTGTGGAAAGAGCTTGCACCCCAGTGACTGTCAAAATATGTATATTATATACATGGTTGACAATGGTCATAAGCTTGCATATCAAGACACAAAGTCTATTCTCAAAGTCTAACCTGCAAAGTATGATACATCAACACATCCCGATAAACTAGCATCTTTCCTTCGTGCGCAACGCGGGCCGATGCGGAAAAGGGTGCGGACTTTTTCTTCTTCGCATTTTTTTCAGGACTTCCTGCATTCTCCTGAGATTCAGCAGGTCTTATTTAGTAGAGCTCTTCGCGTAGTACTACCACCACCCGCCCAACTTGCATCACATTCAGACTGCTGCTTTACGAGGCCACCCTACCTGAACCTGACGAACCTAGGATAAGATTATCATGTTGGGCTTTCATGCGCAGTGCCGCCTCTTCCTCCTCTTTCGTCTCCGCCTTCTCCGTTTCTCTGGTCTCGGCATCGACCTCAAGTTCCATCAGCTACAAGGAACTTGAAAATAAACTGTCCAGGCGAGTACGGAAATGATCAGGGAAACAGACTGTCGTCTACTGCAAACCTTCCCAAGTTCTACCTTCTACTCATTCTGCTCACTTCAAAGGCACGCGGGCTCTATTTTAGAACTGAACATGTCTCGGACTTCATTCTCCACACCTCCTCCTCCCCATCCTCGGTTTCTCCTGGCAAAACTTGGACTCTGTGCCGCAAAGTTGAGTTGAAGCCAGGTCTAGGAAGGGGGTAGGCCGTGAAGAGGTGAGGTAGGTTAGCTTGGTAGGTAGCTAGTAGAAGCAAGGGAGTAGCTAGTAGATAACAACTGGCTACTACGAGGACGCAGGATAGCCCACGCTTCTTCAAGGAAGCGCTTGCAAGATTCATTTGGTTCCTAGAGTTTTAGGGAAACTCAACTAAAATCACAGCACCATCTTCCGAAACCACCCCAGGCACATCAGACATGCCCACAGCCATTGACGGTCCGCCATTGACATTCCCGCTCCAGGCCAGAAAAAGTCCAGTTCAGTCATCGCTCAAGCCCAAGGCAGTCCAATTGCCTTGCTTGGGCTTCTTTTTCTTCCTTAGTAAATATTGTGAAGCCTCTGTGAAATCTCTGGAGTGCGACACATCATTGCCATCTATGACTGTGAACAAGCAACATTCTTGCTCACTGAAACTAGTAGCAAGAAGCTACTAGGTGGAGGCCGTCGCTATTAGGTTGGAGGCCATCGCTACTAGGAGCAAGAAGCTACTAGTTACTAGTAGCAAGGAAGAAGTTTGTCAAGCAACTTTTTCTTTTTCTTCTTCTCATCAGCCGCCTGTGCACTGATGCTGGATAAGTCAGCGCAACTCCCCAAATCTGTGAAGGCCTATATACTGAGTGGGTTGAGACAAACTCTTCTTCCGTACCTCATTTCCATTCACTTCCACATTCTCAATCTCCTCTTCATCTTCCTTCTCCTTTGCACACTACTGATGACATCGGGAAGAAGCACAACTGGAAAGCCTAGTCTATGTCGCAGCTCCCTTGAACCATTTGCCGGCCAGAGCTTTGCCAGGGTGTCCAATCCAGACTGTAATTGTCAGTTCCAAGAGAAAGTCATTCAAGTGGGTCAGAGAACCTCAAGTGTAGTTGCATTTTATACACAAAGTAGGTGGCAAAGTGAAGGGAATGTAAATGCAACAAACGAAAGTTGCAGCCGAGCCGTTTTCAACAACAAACTACCGGAGGTCAGCAAAGATGAACACTCAATTGCAGCGCAGCATGCAGAGTATCTGCGACATTAGCAGCCAGCTTCAGTTTTTGGGCTCCCAAACATCTGGCATCGCTGGCATGGCCTCCAGCGTGCATCAAAAAGTGTCAGCTCGATGACCCTGTAGCCAAGCACTTGGACTGGTGTTACTTTTGGAGACTCGATTAACCTGTCACGACAACTTGGAACCATCTTGGGAAAGTTCCAGTGCATGTCTTCTCAAACTCATTGAGTTGAGAATCTCCATCTGTCTTCCCTCAGCCCTGGCCTCAAAAGTTATGCAATTCAAACGCTTCTCGTCGCAAACTCTGCAAGGACGGATACTGTATACTAGACTGACCTTGTTCACAGTCGTCTATAGCGTCCACACAATAGAACCTTGTGGCAGCTCTTGCTCGGGATTCGGGGCTCATCAGTTCATTGTCTCACAATTTAGATGTATATATGGCTTATGCTCAATTCAGTCATCATAATCTCGACTTGAATGCTGCCTGCAAGGTTGCGAAGCTCATTCAATACCTGTCCTCTGCATCATTCTCTTTCTGAAGTGCAAACAAGCTTTTGATCCGCATGTCACAATCGAAACAAGAGCTGTGGAGGTGCCTTTGACTTGCATGCTTTTGGAGGCCCTGATCCACGCGTCCACCGGCGCTCGAAGTCCAGCCAAAAAAGGGGTTGTCCGCCTTTACAAGTTCCGCCAGAGTAGGGCCAGAGTACTGCTCAGATGGCAAAACATGAAACCAGAAAACTCACAACAACATTGTGGTGATGAAAAACATTCCAAGCTCCCTTGACTGCAGCTCTTTTGTCAGTCTGAGTCAATCTGACAAGGTCGTCTCAAGAACTACTGTGGCTTTGCCTGGCAAAGGCTCAGCTCAGATGCTTCAGAGTCTACATAAAGAGAGCTGTTCATCCGATTTTGCTTTGCGGCTCTTGCTTAACATGCTCGGCATTTCGGACATGTCGACCTTACCACGACAGCTCGGGTCAGGATGGTCTTCAAACAAACAGTACCACACAGGACAACACACCTCCTTCAATCTAGTCATATCACATTAAAGCGCTACCTCTTTAACCGAGTCACATCACATTAAGGAGATTACGCAATTTTGTCTAGTAAGTTTCAACACAGCATGTTTGTTTGTTTGTTCCTTCTTTACTGTACATTACATGCATTTTCTCGGGCCGGGGCGGCGTTCAGGGCGATTCCAGCTTGCAGGGGCCCGTACTGAGCAGAGTGGATGTTTCAGTAGGCCAAATCAACAAATCTCATTTGATCTGTCGCTGTGCCGTTCATTTCTCTTCAAGGCGTTGCAGCTCGTCATTCTTGAGGAGCAAAGCAAAGCACGGCAGGGAATACTGGAGCAGAAGGTCAAGAGTCATTCCAGCCTGGCGTGGTGGGTGATCTTTGCAGTAAATCCGATGTTGCGGGCTTCCGCTGCTTTAAAAGTTTGACTTGTGGACAGCACAAAGATGAGCAACTGGATTGCTCCGCTGCCTCCATCTGGCGTCTTTGAGCTGTTCTGATGCCTCTGAAGGATACACGCCAGGGCCAAACCCCTGGTTGTCACTTTCCATCCCCTTTTCATGAAGTGTGATGTTTCGTGAACCCTGCCTGCCAAACACCCAGATCTCGGCAACGGTGTTGTGACTCAGGAAGAACGCAGCAGCGATGGCCAGAATGCTTTGGGGCGACCAGCAGTGCTCGTCAAAACCCGGCCACCTGTCGAGCTCCTCAACATTGTCAACGCAAGGCTGCTGGTGAGCGTTGGAGAGCTGTATTAAGATTATTTATATAAGAGTATTGTGTATTGAATATATTGCTTGTATTGTTGCATAAATGGTAGATACGAGAAGCCAGTGGGTCAGAGGTTCGCTGTTGGAGCGAAGTTGATTCCGGTTCTATGGCAAGCCAATGCTTGCACTTTGCGGCAAGAACATCTTCAAATCAAATTGTCTTTTCTTATATACTGTAACTGTTGAACATCCCACCTCACCCTTTTAACAGAGCTCTCAAAAACCTCAGTCAAGGTATGACATGGATCTGATGGTGGCGTGCTATTCATATTGAACCAGCGCTTCGACATTACTGGAACCTGCGCTTTTCCGAGTCCGTTATTATGAAGCAACTCTTGAATGAAGGGAGTTAGAAACTTCCTTGGCACGTCCATCTGCTCATGCACTTTCTCACTGCTTCCGACTTCCGAAGCACCTTTCTTGCGGTGTTGCAAGCGTACGTACAGCAGCAGCCCCCCACAGCTGGAACCACAACAGCATCAGCAACCAAGACCACAAAGACACCCGACATGGATGCCTACAAAAAGGAACCACAAATAGCTGCTAGTAACAAGGGCTACTAGGAGCAAGGGCGCTAGTAGTAGCTCCTGGCATTACTACTAGGAGCAAAAAGCTGCTAGTAACAAAGGGCATGGCTACATGTTTGTCCTAGTTATATACATCCAAATATCCATGAATGGCAGTGGGGCGAGACAGCGGACAAGTAGACACGGACACAAACAAACTACAGACCAACGGATGAGTGGTTGGTGGCGGCACTGAACCAAGTAATGCTTCCCCCAGGGTGGCTGGTATAGAGCAAGCTACGTTGCTTCTGTGCACCTTTTGTTCACCGGCTTTACCAGCCAGGCCGACTATTCTGTTGTATGCTATCTCTAACAAGTTGCAAAGCATTGCAAGGGCCCTTCAAAGAGCCAGCACAAGTAAGATGGAATGAAAGCAAGGCTCATGTAGATGGACTAAATTGAAGAATGCATTCGCTGCAAGCAGTCACACGACAGTCTCCCCTCTCTCTCTCTCACACTCTCTTTTCCATGACCTTGCTCGGACCTTGCTCATTAACATGCCACTCAATTGCCAAAGACTCCTGGAAATAGCTTTGGTACAGCTCAGAGCGGAAGAAAGACATTGACCCTGCGAAAAGGCAGCCATAGATATTCACTGGAAGGGAACCTCCAGGCACCTGTACTGGAAGTTCAAGGAGCATCAGCATGTGCAAGTAGGGACATAACATGCTCTTCTCTGCCACTTGAAGCGATGGATGGGCATATTGGCATATTGTCCACCTAGCCCTTCGTGGCAAGAAAAGCAAGAAGCAACAGTTACTAGTCAGTGTAGGCCTCCGTCTCATCCCACCAGTAGCTCACAAGCTCCGGAATCTGCAGGGACACAATGTGCAATGCTAGTGCAGAGCATTGCAGAACAAAGGCCTTGGGGATGAGGTTGCGCTCCTGCATGAATTGCCGGGATACTTCTGTGAGGTACATCGTGCGGTTCCAGGATCCCTCCTGAGAGAACGATCAAAGTTGATTGAAGCATCAAGGTTCCAATATGTTTGCCAGCGCAAACTGTTTGGTCTCCGCAGCCAAACCACTTCCCTGTTGAGGGCACATTGAGCCAATTACATAAGTCCAAGCATCGTAGTGGGCCTGCCAATAGCCCAACTGAACCTGCTCTTCGAAAATACGTTGGAGTGGATCCCATGGTACTGGATGTGTCAGCTCAAACCTGGACACAATCATTTTGTCTGTCTAGTGTGTCAGCAGAGTCTCGAACAACAACAGCCGTCCGATGCAATTACCTGTCGCATGCTTCACACATACACAAATGCAGATTGTTTTATGTAAGCGCTTAAAATGTGGAAAGAATACCAGCCCAACCAATAAGCTTTCATCAGTCGCTTCAACACTCAAAGGACCTGATGTATCAGCAAGGCAGCAAACTGCGGACATCCAGGGCAGCCCGGCTCTGTATCTATGAGCATAACATGGCTGAAGTTGCCCAATGCCTACTCCAACAGCAGCTCAGATAGATCAATTCTAGATTGAAACTGTTGCTCTATTGATCTATCCGAGGAGTGCCTGATGCATCCACAAGGGGCCAGCTGTAAAGCGTGCAGCTCGGCGGTAGCCAGTGGAGCACTGGTGTGGAGACATGGGCCTAGTAGCGAACATTGCTCCTACTGTGCTTGTAGTAGTAAAGTCAGGAGCCCCTAGTAGCGTCCTTGCTCCTGGTAGCGATGCCCTTTGCTCCTAGCAGCTATTTGCTCCTAGTAGTAAGGCCTCAAATAGCCAACATAAAAACATACTGTAGCCGCCAAGACTAAGGGGTGGAAACCAACCTTCCTCTGCAAAGAAACGATCCCTTTCAGGGCATGCTAAAACCCATCTAGGTTATCTAGGCCGCCGGCATCCTGAAACAGCAACCAATTTCCAGTATTAGATCCAATGGACAAGCTTCTAAGTGCTTTCGACCTGTGACAGTCACTAACAAGATTGCAACTCTGGCCCGGGCCATTGCAAGTCGCTCTCGTTTATCAAAGCAACCTTGTAACCCACTCGACATGCGAAAGAAAATGACAACAAGCTTTGTTGCGGCAAGCCTGAAATTCCAACTGAGGAAACTGGCGTCGCAGTCTGAGCTCCTGGATTTGCATTAGTAGTGGAACAGTTTTTGTTGCAGATCTTTAAGTAGCAGAGGAAGTTTGCAGAAAACAAAAGAGCGAAAAGTTTGTTTTTTTCACTGCATGGAGGACAACTTCCAGTAATTGGCGGATTCGTACAGATTGCCTCTGATGAGGGAATGGGCTTGGCCTGTATTAGAGACCATCCTGATCCTCTTGGGGGTCATCCTTGTAGATGCATAACCGCATATATCCGCCGACCCCGGTTGAAGCAAGGGGGAGCGCGTCAGGGAATACGGAGTTGCCGGGGGTGTCCTACCCTCCGCCTGTGCCAAGGACAACT